CCTAGGCGGGAGGAGACTCTTCCTAGGCTGGAGGAGACTCTTCCTAGGCTGGAGAGGACTCTCCCTGGCTGGGGAAGACTCTCCCAGGCTGGAGAAGACTCTCCCAAGCTGGAGGAGCCTCATCCCTAGGCCAGTTCCTGGTGCTCCTCACCTATGCTGGTGGTTTCTCGCTTGGGCGCTGTGCAGGGTGAAGAGCTGCTGCTGCTGAGCAGGGCTGTTCCCTGTGTGCCAGAGGGGTGGGAGGGCAGGTTTGGGATGGGAAGGGGCTCCTCTGCTGCCCCATGCTTATGGCATTGCTCCCCTTTCTTCCCACATCTAAGTCCCGAAGCGCTGGACTATCCCCTGGAGCCCAGGTGAGTGTGCCAGGCTTTCTGCTCCTGTCTCGTGCTCTGCTGTCGCTGCCTCTGCATGTCTCTGTCTCCCTGTCTGTCCTGTGTGTCCTTCTCCTTGTCTTTTTATTTGTAAGGGATACAGCTCTGCAGAGGAGGAGGAGGAGAGATGAAGGAATCTGTTTCCCTCCAGCACAGGCACAGCAAATAGCGCTGAGCAAGGGGAGAGGCTTGAGTTAGGTCAAGCTTCATGCAGAGCCTTGTCCAGCCCTTTGGATGCAGTGTCCCTTGGGAATAAAAAGCTGTCTGTGTTGTCCACGTTGTCCAGTCTGTCAGCAGTGTGGCTCAGAGCATCCCAGGAGTGAATGGCCACTCCATAGGGCAACCTCAGCTGTTGCCAAGAGCCTTGTGCGTGTTCCAGCTGGGACTGAGCAAAGATGAAGATGCCAATGTGGGGGAAAATCCTGTCCTTCCTTCATTCCTCCCTTGGGAAAAGACCTAGGAGAAAGAAGGCTTTTCTGCCTCTGTGGGCAGCCTCCATCCCCTTCAAACTGCTCATCATCTCCCAGTTTTGGGTACTAAGACTTGTGTCACAACTTGGCAGGGACTGATGTGCCTGTACTTGATGCTCCATGAAGGCCAAAGCAAGGAGCAGGAGCCCCATGTCTTTGGAATTTCAAGGTGGATATGGGGGAAAACACTTTATCCCTAGGAGAACTGTGCAGCCCCCACCCAGGTCAGCAGGAGGATGGAGTTGCTCCAGCCTTGGTGTTGCCAAGCTCAGCTGGGCAGAGCTCCTTTATCCCTGAGAATGGTTCTGCTCAGAGTGGGAGTTGGCTTAGAGACCTTGAAGGCCATTTCTTTGATCCTCTGGGCTGGTTTAGAGCTTCCCATCCTCTGTGACCCCTTGAGTGCAGCAGCAAGTAGGGACAGAGCCCACACATAGCCTGATGCCAGGGGTTGGATGGAGGTTAATCCCAGCAGCTGAGCTGGGAAGAGAAAACTGCTCTGAGGAGCTTCCTGATGCTTCTGGAGCCTTGTTTTTCACTCTGCTCCCATCTCCCCACGCAGTGAGAAGGCCTTGCAGTCAAACTACTTTGAGCTAAGCATCAAAACAGAAGCCACTCAGGGGCTGATCCTGTGGAGTGGGAAAGGGCTGGAGCGCTCGGACTACATCGCCCTTGCCATCGTGGATGGTTTCATCCAGATGACTTACGACCTCGGCTCCAAGCCAGTTGTCCTACAATCCACAGTCCCAGTCAACACCAACCAGTGGATCCACATCAGAGCATCCAGGTGGGAAGGCTGGTGGAGGGGAGAGTGGGCTCAGGGTGGATGTACTGGGATGGGCAAGCTGGGAGTGAGGGAGCCTGAGTCATGGTGGTGGCTCCGTGCCCTGTGATCCCCAAGGGTCACTTCTCCTGTTGGATAATAATAGAGGAGAGGCATGTGAACAGTGCATGTTGGGACAGGCCTGGAAATGTCAAAGGGGCAGGAACAAGGAGGTGCAGAAGGTTTGGGCCTTTTATTTTAGCTGTCTGAGGGTTTGACATTCTGTTCATGTTGAGGCCGAGTTGTCCCTCTTTATTTCTGGGGGGAGTGGGGAGTGGATCATGTGCTTGGCATGCCAGGGATTGCTGCTCGTGGCTCTGGAGGGTGTGGGAGGAAGCTGTGGCCACTGGCAGGGCTAGGGGTAGGGCTGGGGGATGCCCAGGGAGGTGCTGGAGGGGAGCACTCCCCAAGGATTGCTCCATGGCCACAGGGAGAGCTCAGCTCCTCTCTCCTCTCCAGCTGAAGAAGAGCTGATGGTGCTTAGTAAAGCAGAGACCAGCTCTGGGTTTTTTCTCTAATCATCTTCTTTTCCTTCTCCCTTTCCTCCTGGAGCAGAGTACAGAGAGAAGGTTCCCTCCAAGTTGGGAATGAGGCTCCCATCTCTGGTTTTTCTCCTCTTGGTGCCACACAGCTGGATACAGATGGGGCTCTGTGGCTGGGTAAGGCTCTGTGGGAAGGGGGAGCAGCCTCTGTGCCCCTTGCTGAGGGGTTTGGAGCTGGAATGGGATGCTGGTGCTCCCTCCTGTGTTTCAACATGACACCTTTGCCTCTCATGTGGCTTTAAGCCTGACCTAAAAATTCCAGAGGTTGTGTTTGCCCTTGGTAATTTCAGGGCCTGGAATGAGCCCTCATTGCCACTCAGGAATTGAAGGAAAATTGAGTTTGATTTTGGGCTCAATCTCTAAGGAAAAGAAGTATTTGAAGTTGAATTGGTATTTTAGACTAGAAAGCCCAAGAGAAACAAGTTACTGGTTCAAGTGTCTTCAGGAAAGCTGTAGGCATTGGTTGGATCAGGCATTGGTTGGGTCAGGCATTGGTTGGATCTGACATTTCTCTGATTCAAGTGAAAACAAATACTGTTTATTTGCATAAAATTAATTAACTATTTAACTCCTGTTGATTGTTGGGAAGACATTCACAGAACCATTTAGGTTGAAAAATACCTCTGAGATCAAATCCATCCTGTGACCCATCACCACTTGGTCAACTAGAGCAGAGCACTGAGTGTCATGTCCAGTTGTTCTTTGAACACCTCCAGTGTTGGTGACTCCACCACCTCCCTGGGCAGTTCATTCCAATGCCTGACAACCCTTTCCAGGAAGAAATTCCTTCTCAGACATTCCCAGCAGTGCTTGTGTCTGTGTCTGAGTGTGTGACACTGCTGGGGACAGGCTGTGTGTCCTCTGCCCTGGGCCCTGCCCTCTGTGTGTCCTCTGCCCTCTCTTGTGCCTTCTGTGTGTCCTCTGCCCTCTTCCTTGACCTCTGTGTGTCCTTATCCATGTCCCTTGACCTCTGTCTCCTCTGCCCTCTCCCCTGCCCTCCATGTGCCCTCTGCCCTGTTCTCTGCCCTCTGTGTGTCCTCTGTGTGTCCCCTGCCTTGTCCACTGCCCTCTGTGTGTCCTCTGCCCTCTCCCTTGACCTGTGTGTCCTCTACCTTGTCCTCTGCTCTGTGTCCTCTGTCCTCTCCCTTGATCTGTCCTCTACCTTGTCCACTGCCCTCTGTGTGTCCTGTGCCCTGTCCCTTGATCTGTGTCCTCTACCTTGTCCTCTGCCCTGTCCCTTGACCTCTTTGTGTCCTCTGCCCTG